TATGGCTTTGCCTAGTTGATTCTGAATCTAAGTAGGCTTCTAAGAAGTAAGAGATCTTTTCTTCAATATTTCATCTTAAATTATCAATTTTCGCAGGCTTAACCTCTATCAACAACCGTTTGTCACGTCCAAATAATTAATCAGGATTGTGTAAATAAGGGCTATGGTAATTCACAATAATTCGAATGCCTAGCACATATGTATAAATTTTCTTTTCTCGATTTGTCCTAAAAATGTTATGTTTCTTACTACTCGCCTTAGTTTGGAAGCAGCTGAAAAGCGTACACTAGTTAGAAAAACCTTACATTTTTTCAAGTCTGGTCATTGAAAGCTCGGGAGCTTGCTTAAAGAAACGGCGCATGTAAACCGCAATATACCAAGCACAAAGAGCGACGAACAAAGTGAATAGTGTGAGCTCGATTATGGTGACGATACCGAGCCCCTTCACGACCATCGGCCTCTTCAAGAACCTTAGTTTAGTGTCCCTTTTGCTATTGCTATCAAAACATGCACTTACATGTTAAACCAAAAACAAAGAAAATTGTGCTTTTTTTNATTACTATTAGATGAGCCAAATAATTAATGTCCAAACCTTACTGTGACACCACCAGTCATTCTCTTTCCCAAATGCAGATATAAACACCCCAAGACAGCAATGAACAAAATGGGAAATGTGAAATTCAGCATTGTTGAACCTGATAAAGACTCCATGCATTAATTAATGAAGAAATTTTCTCAATTAATCACCAATAGTAGTCCATTAGTTGTCTTAAACAGTAAAATGATCAATAACTTTTTTTCAAGTAATTGAACATGCTTTCCATTCACAAACTTAAAACACCATAAATCAGGTAATATTTGAAAGTTTTTTTTGGACAACCTAAAGGGAAGGGAACAAATTAAGGATAATCAGTGACTAATTACCTTGTATTCCAAAGAAAGTGGAGTTTGTATGAGCAAGAATGTGGATCAACCAGTGATTGTAATAAGTATCAGTTGGCATAATAATCCACATCATTATATTACCAAGAAAAACAATAAGGGCCACCACCAAAATTGCTCCTCTGGCAATAGTGATGATTCCAGAGGAAGCCATTGTTGTGCTCTTGAATTCTTTTTCTTCCTCTCCTTTTTTTTCAAAAAATAAATAAATATGTTGTACTATTTGACTGTTTATGAGGAGTTCTGTGTGAAAGCTTGTTTTATAGTGGAGAAAAATGGGTCTGAATTTCTGAGAAGGTGATGTGTTTGTGTTTATATATGCTACATACAATTATGGACACATCAGTGCGTGTACGCACATGACAAGCACACACATCACACTTGCTTAAGTGTTGTGTTTATGAGTGAAAAATAAAATAATAATAATAATAATAATAATAATAATAATAATAATAATTAATGGACAAGTGATTCACACTTGCTTAAGTGTTTCCTTTTCTTTTCCTACATAATTACTGATTTTCGTGTGGCCAAATATTTGTATTACTTTCAGTTTTGTCGTGATTGGATTATTTTTTTCATCTGAAATTCGATTTGTCACAGATTTTTATTTTTTCCAAATAAATCATTGATCTAATTTATATTTTTTCTCCCAAATCTTATCAATACAACTACAATTTTAAAATTTTAAATGCATTTGAAACTCTGATCTGAAGTCACATATCACTCGGCACATAAATCCTCGTCTACTCTGCTCTCTGATTTCCGGTAAAATCCATAGGTCTGGACAGTCGGAAAGAATGGCCATAGCTTTGCTGAAGAATAAGGTTAAAAGCCCATCTTGAATTTCAGGTTTGTGCTTAGAAACCCCTCCTCAATCGAATTGAGCCTTTATAGTTATATTGTGAAACGCCATTTTCGTCAATCCGAAAGAATAATAAGAAGTTAGTGTTATCAAGATCCTTGTCAACATATTATTAGTCTTAAAAGTTTATTGGTGAAGTAAGATTAACATGTTGCACCTGATAAACATATCAGATGATTTTTGTTGATAGCTGAGATTCTATCATACGAACTTAGCAACCAAACAAACTTGGTGTACATTATTCATCATGTCATAATTTTTACAGCAGCAGATTTGTATACAGCTTGTAGATGACAAGCTTAAACAAGAAAAGTAGAATACAAAAGGAAAAGCACCAGTTACACTCAGCACTTAAAACAGAACCACACAACTCACGAGCGATGATGACATGATCGACTCAATGAGCCGACAAAATATAAATTTCCATTTCATCAGCAAATTTCGATGATCACCAACTGAAGCTGATGGACTCAAAATGCAGATTATTGGCCAAGCCAGATGAACATATTTTCGCAGCTTCATGCCTCAAACTCCGAGGCCCACAAACGAGAACCCCAACACTTGATTCCTTCAGCTCGAATAGAATCTCTGAAGCAAACAACATTCGAAGGTCGTTAATAGCTAAGAATTAATATGTTCACACTCCATTATATTATTGAAATGCAAAAAAGAACTTACTTTTGATATCCGGCTTTTCTCCATAATGCACGTTAACTGTTTGTGAAAATGCCTGTTGAGGCAAGCTTTCCAATTCTCTATCTGTATTATAACCAAACCACGAATTAGGAGACCCCACAGGACTAATCCCCCCTTCCATACTCTGTATCTGCTTAATCTCCCTTCCATTTTTGCCCTTGTTCCAGAGAAAAGCCGCGGTTGAAGTCATAACAATGCCGATGCATATGAACAACATATGAAGCACGGCTCTCGACGACCAAGAATATATCTTGTTTGTATTGCGGTCGATTGGGTATATATAGTAACGTGTCAAAATGCCAATACAAGTTAGGTAGATTACGAAAGAGGACGATATTATGGCCCCAAGCCATAGATAGCTGTTTTGACCCAAAACTGGGGCTAAGGGCAAGTCGGAGTTGTTGGGCTTGAACCAAAGCGTGCGAATGGTGTTTTTGGTTGCTTCTTGTGTTTTCTCCCTTGTCACGTAAGCTTCGATTTGTAAGTCTAGGGTTGAGGGATTTGGTGTGGGGCCAGAGATTGGAAGGATTAGGTCTAGAAAGCTTAGGTCAGTGGAGTTCTTGAACGCGGTTATTAGGAGGATTTTTGGAGTTTTGTGCTTTAGAGTCGAGTTCGCGTGGATGAGCTCTCGGATGATGGAGATGAATGGAGTTATTCCGCTACCTCCGCTTATCAACACTAATAACTCGTGCCTGTAAAAGAAAAGGGATGTGTTGAATATTTGAATTGATATTGATTGGCGAATGAAATCGAGTATGGGAGGAGTTGTGTAGTTTTTAGAGGTAGTTTTTTCATAGCTAACCTTAAGATGGGTGTATTCAATTTCAACTTTTAGAGACTTTTTAAGAATTCTGGTGTATTCAATCAGAACTTTTAGGGATTTTTGAATAGTTTATTTTAAAAAGTCCTTAAAAGTCTCAAGGTATTCAATTAAAACTTTTTGCATGGTTGTGTTATGGTTTGTTCAATACCTAAGAAAATCAGTTGAGGGAGGGCCGTATGGACCTTCAAGCGAAACCTCCAGACGATCAATGGAAGAAGGTGAAGCAAGCAATTGATAGAGCTTATTGGACCATTTCCCTTCCCCTTTGATAACTACACTCAACTTATCACACTCCAAATTACTGCTTGAACTAATGGTAAAAGGGTGCCACTGCAGCTTGGAAATGCTTGGCACATTCATGAACATGATGCTAGTTGGAGTATACCTCAAACCTGACAAATGTAAGAAAATAAATAAATAAAACAAGTAATTAGTTTTGACCGATTTTATCGTGGTTTTAGACTTTTAGTTTACCTTTGGCTTTCGAGAAGTTGAGCTCGACCGTCTGACAAGGAAGGAGTCGGGCAGACAGAAGACGGACCTTTTGTCTCGACTGGAGGAATCTGAGGTGTCGGTCAATCATGAAGAGGAAGAAGCCGGGGAGCATGATGCACGTGTAGCTTATGCCTACGTGGAGAACAAAGAAGAAGACAAATAGGATGTATAGGTGATGAGCGTAGAAGAACAGCTCAAACATCTTTCTTCTTATTCTTGGGAATGTTGTAGCCCACAGGACTAATCCTGCCAGCAGGGATAACTCTCCTGCCACGTTGGATATCCCTGTTTTCTCCCATTTCAGCATCTGTAGGAAAAATAAAACATATTAATATGCCTGGTCATGTTCTTTGGAAACTTGTCAGCTGCCTTGATGAAATTAATAAAATATTGTTTTTTGTTAATTTTTATAGTTTTTCAAATTGGGAAAATAGGTGATGGGACCATGAGTCCACTTTGCTAGCTGGTTGACTACAAATTTGTTTAATTTCGCATCATAAACGTGTCAATCCAAATGAAAATGGGGTACTGTTCAAGTGATACAATAATCGTCATTTCAATTCAACTCACATAAAAGTTTGAAAAAT